TTCATAGAAAAAAACCGTATCTATATTTTATGAGATTAAATTTAAACAATATTTGTGTCTGTATGTTATATTATTAATACATTATATTAATTGATTTTTTCTTTTCGATATATCGCGTTTGATAAATAAAGTTGCACATTTCTAATACATTTAAATATTTTATTTATAATTAATATTATCAATATTATTAGAATTAATTCGTTTTCTTTTTATTACTGTTATTATTATTGCTGAACCCAATAACAATGGGTAATAAAAAGGGTATATTGTATTTGTGCAAAATCCAAATGTATATAACAGGCAGAAGGAAGCATCTCCGACGCCATAAAGTATGTATATTCTTGATCAGCATCAATAGCCGAGTCGATCTAGCCATGTCCGTCCCTCTGTCCGTCCGTCTATCCGTATGTATGAACGCAAGGATCTTTGAACCTATAAGAGCTTAAGACTTGAAATTTTAGATCTAGGCGCTCCTAGTGCCTGCGCAGATCGAGTTTGTTTCCGATACTCGATAACGTACTCCGACTCCAAGCAATCGACATCGACATCCTGTTATTTGAGCAAATTGGATAAATATTAAGAAGTAGAGTCACCAAACTTGATATGTTTTTTCTCTAGAATATTATATATGTATATTTATTTATATTAATTTTTACCTATCTCCACCTTCCCGCTAACACCGCAAAGCTATAAATCAAGTTAGTCAGCCCAACTAATATTGCCAACCAATTTAAGACACAATTTAAATGTGATTGCAAATATTCTATGGTATTATAAGATATGCTGTAGAAAATTTCATGAAGATCGTTTAAGAAAGACGTGTTTGCGGCACCAGCGCCAATTCAAAGAATATCTGTATGAATGTGCACACACACACTCATGCGCGTCTGCCTCGTATTCATTAACAAGATTATATGAAATTGCGATTGTAGTGTTTTCTGTGCTATTATTTTAATTGGTTTTTTTCTCACTGAGAATAAATGATTGGTGTGGCTATTGAGTAGAGGCGGTGGCAAGTAGTGTTGTTTGTCGCGGGTTCGAGACCTACCGGCGAAGCTATTTTGTTATTTTTTTTTTTACTACTAAAACAAAATAGCACGTAGCGCGGATCCCCTAGTCGAAAGCTCCCGACTAGAACCTCTTGCTTGTTGTGATTATAATTATTGTTATTAATCTTCTTTTTATTATTACTTTCTTTTAATTATATTATTATTATATTATTATACTATTATTATACTATTATTAATACTATTATATATATATATGTTCTTCTTCTATTTAATATATCCCTCATCCGATAAAATAACTGTAGCATTAGCAATAGACAGAAGAGTAGAACTATTATTGTTATTAGTTTTATTATAATTAAACATAATTTCTTAAATTTGTATAAGTTTCTTGTATATATATTTTTCCTTTTGTACTTGATTAATATAAACCAAACAAAAGTTTTCCATAACTCGAAATACTTCCCTCCCAGACGTTTGTTCTAAAAATCTGTTATCGTGATATTTTGTTAAGCCTTTGGACCTGATGGCGGATTCAATGTCCAAAAATTGGTAACCATTTAGCGCAAATAGATTATACGAAATGGGGTAAATGTATTAATGATTCGTTCTGCTGCTCATTCGGGATTTGTTTTGCTGTATTTTTGCTTTGGTTCTGTGATTTGTGTCAACAAACTAGTTAGCAACGAGTGTCGGATAACACCTTCAGTTCTGTGCGGCATATCCGTGGTCACGTACAGCCACAAATAGATAACCACCCGATGTTCGTTTGCCATAGGACGGCTAGGATGTCCTGGATTCTGCGGCGCATCGATACCGTAGCCGTAGTAGTTGTTGTAGTTGCAGCAGCCGCTGTGCTGGAGCATAATTTTTAAAGCACATTTCAAATCAATTCGACTGTCAAGTTATGTGTGACTGGGCGAGCAGTCGGCCATGTGGAAATGCATGGCCACAGGTCAGTATAATGGGTGGCAGCCACCTGAATGCAGCCACCTAAGGCCACCCAATCAACCGACCAACCGACCAACCGACCAACCGACGAACCGACCAACCGACAAACCGACCAAACAACCAACCAACCAAACAATAGCTGGGGCTGTGTAAGCGACAGCTGAGCTCCTGTGACCCATGCCCATTGATGATGAACAGCACACTTTCATTAGTGAATTGTAGAAACTACCTGGCCACCGCTTCCGAATTGCAACGGCCCAGCGACTGTTAATCCGTCAGAACCGACTCGGCTCCACTGTGGTTGCCGGCGACAGGTTGGGTATTATAGCTACAGGTATTCAAGGTATCTATGCCCATTTGGCCAAATGAGCGGCTTAACACAAATGTTGCAAATCGGTTTTCAATACGAATTTCCAAGCATGCTCATATAGATTATTATTCCGGAATAATTGGAGCTATCAAGTGAAAGAGGAAACATCAATATAGGATCAGAAATTAGCTCTACTGCATGCCCATCTTCCGATACATGTGGTATATCACGCTATCGAGCCGCGATTGTTAAGAGTTTCACGATACAAGTTTCGGCCGGAATAAAGTAATATCGCTGGAAGGGGAATATGTATCGGCTGGAAGATACGTTTACGATAGTTGCAAATATATTTAGTTCGTGCTTACAAAACTGTTTCGACTGAGTTAAAGTTGTAAAGCTCAAAAGGAAACTGGTATCGCCTGGAAGATACATTTGCGATATATTTTGTCTGATTATTAGAAAATAGTTTCGATCGAGTATTGCCTGGAAGATAATATTACGACGAAGATGTTAGAATACTCTTAAAACATACCGTAATTTGCGATGGGATCAACATGAAAAGTTGAAGAAAACAGCGCTTAAAATATAAAAAGAATATTATTAAATAACAATAACAACAATAATAATACTGCATTTCTCGATTATTCAGGTATGGATAGATGAAGCACTTATTGCTATTAAAAAAAAGTTTGATTCAGAGTCTTTAAAAGTATGCCATCATTTTAATGATAATAATAATGAAATAAAAATTGATAGTAATAATAAAAATATGATCATAATACGGTATCAAATTGACCATTTTAAGGTAGTTGAGAGCTAACCCAGCAGGTTTCCTGTCTCGCCCAATTTTGCTATATCTGATGCCCAGTGTGCCAGAGACAAAAAGCCAGACGAGCCTGGTCAACAGAAGATAATCATTTCTTTTTTTTTTTTTTTTTTTCATTTGTCGTTTTTGTTTTGTTTTTTTTTTTTTTTTTTTTTTTTGTTTGCTCGAATTTCCTGTGCTTTGAAAGAGCCAATGCAATATAGTTTCGTTTATTCTTTGCGTGCACGTATGCCAGTAACAGATTGCCTTCATTCAAACTCTTCGCTCAGACTCAAACTGTCTGTTTCTGTCTGTTTCTTCCAGAAATATAGATAAGACGACCGTTTCAGTGTACGCTTTGAGCGAAACTCGTTAATTTCGCAACGCTCCCAAAGGTAGGCAACACTTTGTTTGCTAACTTTTCAAGCCTGTATTTTTGATATTGCTCGTCTAAGCGCGCAAACACACACACACACACACACACACACACAGAGACGCTGTCGTTGCCAACTTGTTGCGCGAGGACAAAAAACGAACTCAAAACAAAAGCGATGCGTGGGAACCGTTAGGCGGCCGAGTGGCTGGCGTTGCTGTGTTGCCGTTTGCTTTGCTCTGTTATGATTGGGGTGGGCCACGCATTGAGTGCGAACTCAAGCCGGATGCTTACACTGCTTATGTGAATGCCAAATACATCAATGTTATCTACTTGTGCTTCTGCTTGCATTGGTGCAAGTGTGAACGTATTTTTGACAGAAAATGCATTTTGATCAGCCGAAAACTAGCGCCAACTCTTTTGCGACAACACGTCGCCAGCTCGCTCTCTCTTACCCCCGTCGCGGTCTATCTTATTTGCCGATTTTTTTTTAAGCAGCGAGTGCGTGCGCGTGTGTGTGTGTGTGTGTGTGTGTGTGTTTGTGTAATTGTGTTGTTAATTAACTGAAATCGCATTAATAAAGTTACTTGGAGCGCGCCACGAAATACACATATACACACACACACACACACACACTCACACGCACAGTTTTTTTTTATACGAATATGTGTGCGGTGTCTGTGTGTCGCCGCCGCAGCGCATAAAAAGTTTTAATTGGCAGGCGACGAAGTTGACCTGACCTCTAGCGAAAGCCGCGGGCACACTCACACACACACACGCACGCACACGCACATGTGACAGCAATTTTTAAGTGCATTTTGAAATGAATGCACACACACACACACACGCGAACAAAGAACTCATATTGTTGTATTTGTTTTTACATCTAGAAATCGCAATGAAAAATTTTGTGGAAGCATCAAAAAAAAAAAAAAAAAAAAAAAACATTAAAATGTCCTTTAGTTTTAGAACTCGAAGAAAGCAATAAAACGACAAATGCAAATGCAATTAATTAAAACTTATTTGGTACCAACTAATTGGCTCAAATTTACAACAAAATAAAATTCGTAAATGTCGCGTTTTCCCGACTACAATCAAAATTCCCTTCTATTTTTTTTTATTCTTATTTTTCATAAATGCGCCAGAAAGAGTTCCAAAATACGCAAATTTCATTTATTATTTGCGTTTAATTTCATTTTTGGGTTTACATGCATTTCGCATTTGCACCTAGCACACCTTTTGAATTTAACCGCGGCTGACTTGAGCGCTTTCCGCGAGTGAAGTTACTTTGAGTGGCATTCTGAGTTAAATGCACTGAGCAGACAGCATCTGTTGCGCGACAGTGGTATGAGAATTGTTGTCTGTGATACGCTTAGCTTAACTTTGATTTCATAATATATGAATTCTCCTAGAGAACTTCACGAGAACTATGACAGAATAAAGGATTAAAAGAGAGAGAGATTCGTATTCTTCAATTTATTCTAATTAATTATTACGTTAAAATCTGTAATGTTAAAACTTGCTCATAGTTGTTCGATTGAATAACTGTGAAAGAGAATTGAAAATTGTGAGCCACTGTGCCTTTGCATGCTAACAGTGCCATTTTGAGTTAGCATTAACATTGAGTGCTGCCTGACAGTGACACCGCAGTTAAGTTGAGCATAAACATTGGGCAACTGAAGTTAACATAGCAATCGTAACAGTTTTCTGTTATCGAAATCCACTCAACAGCTCTTGGCGTTGCTGCATTTGTTATGTTTCTGGGAGCGATTTCAGTTTGTTTTGTGCGCGCGTTCCGGACGGTAGTGATTGCCGTGTGTGTCTCGTCGTCGTCGTCGCTGTTATAGCCGTCGCCGTCGTCGCTCGCGTAGTCGTAGTTCGTGAGAAAGCAAAGTCAAAGCGTAGCTGGTAAAAAACGTTGTATGTCTTATGTGTGTGTCTTTGCTGCTTGCGCGTCGATCGGCAGCGGGCAGCGCGCAATGATCTTTCAATATTTTTGTTGGTTTTTTTTTCTGTTTATCGAGTGTTTGTTTCTGCGTGCCTGAATTTTTGTATGAAATGGAAATGCATGTGCAATAAACGCAATATAAAACGTGCCGATAAGAAAACAAATGTTAATAATTTTATTAACAACTGATATACATACATACAAACATATATTTACATTCAGATATGCATTTTGCATAAGTGTGCATAGTTGTTGTGTGCTTGATTGTGTGTGTGCCTGTTTGTGGGAGCGAGCAAGCTTAAAAGGAAAGAATTGCAAGTAAAAACGGGTTCTTGCAGCCAACCAGTCGACATCAGAGCCAAAAGAAAAGGGTTCAACAAAGAGCCACAACACAACAGCAGTAGCAGCATATAAAGCAGCAGCAGCAGCAGCAGCAGAAGAAGAAGAAGAATTCCCATTAAACAAACGCTGACTGCGCTGCTGGCTGTGGCTTTGGCTTGGCGCGCTGATCGTGCCATGGCCTCTCACATGCGCTCGCTCTCTTTTGCTCGCGTTTCTACCTGCGGCAGGTGTGCATGTGTGTAAGCGAGTGAGTGGATTTTGGTGCGAATGGACAGCACAAAGCGCAATGGTAGATTAAAGTGACGTTACCATTTGTTTAAGTTTGTGTTCTGTTGCTCATCATTTTCTACTGTTTCTGTTTCTTTGTATGCGTGAGTGTATGTGTCTCTCTCTCTCTGTGTGTGTGTGTGTGTGTGCTTGTATGTGCCCGCCTCTTAAGCTTACACGTTCTGCTTGTTGTTATCCATTGTAGCTACCAAAAAAAAAAAAATGTTTGCGGCAATGGTCAATAAATAGAAATTGAAACTATTGAAAGGGAGAACAACGAAGAAAAGCCGAAAAACAAACTGAATAAAAATTCAACTAAAAACGCTATAAATTGAACAAGCCAAGCAACGCCGCAGAATAAAGTAAAAGAGGCTACAAAACAACAACAACAACAACTGGCGCAAATGCAGCAACGATCGTTGGCGTCGTCGCTGCGGCGCGTCAACAAAAAACCAGCAGCAGCCGCAGCAAAACGAAGAATCAAAAAACCAACAACAACGTCGCCAGCAGCAGCTTGGCTCAAAATGCTGCCGCTATCGACGTCGCCGCCTCTGCTATTGCCGCTGCTGCTGCTACTGCTCGGCATAGCCGCATTTAGCTTGGACAGCTGCTCATGTTACGCGGGTAAGTTCTGTCTTCTGCACGTTGCCCCTACCCCGCCCCTTGCCCAATGCATGCATACATATCTTCTTCCACTTATATTCTGCCTCTCTTGTTGTTGTTTTATTTTTTCTTTTCGTTTTATTTTTTTCTCCTTCGTTTTTGGTATTTTGTGTGTGTCTCAAAAACATGTACAAAACAAACAGCCCGTGGGAATTTGTTGGTGGTTCAAAGCGTAGCAGGAAATTAGGCAAAACAGGGCGACATTCTGTAGGCGAAAGAGGAGCACAATTAGTAGTAGCTGTGGGAGTAGCTAGAGTTTTGGTACTAGCCCAACGCATTCTCGATCAGCAATACTGATTGCGCGGTTGTTGTTGTTGTTGTTGCTGTTATAAAATTAAGTCAAAGTGACCCCAAAAACTCAAAACCACACACACTCTTGATTTACAACAGTGCCAATGAGCTTCAAATACAGTGAACTATCGATAAAAACGTTAACGATATTGTATAGATCAATATTGAAGCTTGAAAGGGTTGAAAAGTATCAAACTCTTAAAGCTACAATAGAATGGCAGTAAATAGTTGCCGTTGATGGAAACGTGTAATATATTCAGGTTAGCTCCATTCAGGAGATAAAACCCTGTATATTCCTGTTATTGGATATAATTTAGTAATATTTTTAAAGCGCCACGAAACTCTGTAGAGCTTATTAATTATTATTACTTATAAAACAAATCGCTTAAATTTAATATTATTTGGTATTTTTGAAAAAAAAAACTAAAGGCACAATTGAGTTTTTGGTGTACGAATTCTTACAATATATTTCATTTGATTTGAGTTAGAATATCAGAATAGTGTTCACTCTAGTCAGCATTCACTGTAGCGCTCGGTGGCAAAGAGTTTGATGACAAAAATGTGTATTTAACACTTTGTCGCTGATATTTTCACAGAATCCAGAAACAGAAAACGACAATTCAAAGTGTCTTTGTGTGTGTGTGTATTGACTTTGTAAATAACTGCAAAAACAGCACAAAAGTTAGACGAGTCCACATCAAAAATACGATTTCTAAGATGAAATGTGCAACCGAATAAACAGGCAAAGTGGCAAATGGAGCAGAAGAAGGGGAAGCACACAGGCAGATAGCGAATATGCCCGACAAGAAGCAGAAGAGAAGAATTGAGTAAAGCTTAGCTTTTATTCAATTGTACTTAAATGACTCAAATAATGTTCAATAAAAATGAGCGAGTTTCCAAATATCGAAAAAAAAAGAAATCCAGAATTTGCAAGTTTTTTCTTAATGAGTTTATTTCAATTTCATTCTTTAAATAAAGTACAATTGAAGGGAAATAAGAGAGATTAATAACTCAAAATTATGTATGCTATTTGAAACTTGAAAATAGGCAGTATATATAAATTAAAACTGGGTTGAAAAAAACAAGAAAGTTGTCGCTGGTTCACGGTTCACGGCTTGATCTGACTGCCTGCCTGAAGATTCGTTTCGTGACGCTCGCTAGCATTTCGCTTCTTTTTACCAAGATTGCGGTTCAAACCTTTAATTTTCGTCAGGTTCGGGTATCAAGATAGTTCGTGGTAGATAATCGGGAAGATTCAAAGTTCAAAATTCTCCTTGAATTAAAAGTTTGTAAAAGCTTATTCTCCGAAAATTAAAGAATATTGATCTAAAAAACGGCTAATTTTAAGGTTAATCAGGAAATTTATATCAAAATGAGATAATCCTGAACGGGTTATACTTTATAAGCATAAGGCATACAAATAAAAAATGAATGTAGAAATTGCAAAACATAAAAAGAGAACTACGTTCTAGTTATAACAGTCTCCGTGTCCGACAGAAAGATTACCTTCAAGATCTAGTCTGATTGTAAATAATTGTATTTCCTACTTCATACCTCTTGTAATTCGAAGGCTTACAGGGTATAAAATGTAATTATGCTCAGAAATTAGTTAGTCAGCTAGTTAGTTCACTTAAACGACCTCGTCTGATGGGATTGGCAATCTTTCCTTCTGCCTGTTACCTGCAATTTTGCCAATTGTTTAGCTCCCTTTAAAGCCCATGGCAAGTCTTACAGGGTATACAAAGTAATTGTACTCGGAAATTCCTTACGAATGTCTCATCACATATCAGTGAGCTTTCTGTCAGCTGCTGAACAATAGTCGAATTTTAAACAAATGCCTAAACCAAGTGGAAATAACTTTTGTGTGAGAACTTTTAATTAGTAACTTTTAAATTGGGAATTGTTGAGCAAGTTGCAGCTGTTCAATTACTTGCGGGCCTAACTGTAATTCGTTGGGCTTACGCCTGGCTAATTAAGTGCTGTCAACTAAGTTTTCCACAAATTTGTTAACTTCGATTATAGAATAATTGATCCCATGGGCCGTGTTGTTGCATTTAATCCATAACTTTTGTGCATTTAGTGCACAATACAATAATAGTTATTAATAATTGTTAATAATTAGTGTACAATAAATTGTTTGATTCATTTATTTTCATTTCGACATATTTGTTGCTCGCTCTGAGTTATTTTCATTTGAAGTGAAAAGTCTCGAGTTAAATTTAATTACAAAAATTGTTTCACCTGATAAAGCAAACATTCCACATTCGTTTATTATTGTTGCATCTCGGAAGCACCGAATTGATATACCTGCAATTAAATAATTTATCATGAATTAATCAAAGTTCACGTTGTCATTCGTTATTTTTTCATTTTATTAATTGACATATCATTGCATTTAATGTAATTTTCTTTATTATTCTTTGGTTGATTCCGTGCATTCCATGCACGGAATACCAACTGAAAGAATTTTGTTGTGCATTTAATACAAATGTAAATAATTCTTTATTATTTCGCTTCCATTTTATTCCATGTCTTGCTTGTCATATGTTTTTTTTTTCTTATTTTTCCCTCTCGTTTGTTTCATTTCAAGTCGTCTCAGTCATAATGCACCATTCCACTTTATAGCTGTGATCCAATTCAACCATTCACTAATTGTTTGTTCCATTTCCTGTTATTTCTTTTGTATTCTTTAACATTTCTGTTTCATGTTCTGTTTCACGACATACCATTCTTTGTTTAAAACTAGCTTGCAGTCAATATGCAATTGTCGTTCCATTCCATACCATTCCTTTAGTTTTTCAATAAGTTTCCTTTCAAGTGAAAAGCTTTTGTGCATTCGATGTTTTATTCCTAACTTTGTTTAACAATAGCTTGAATTTTATAGGAAGCACTGAGACGACTATTGACAACTTGGTCGTTCCATTCCAAAGCATTCCTGATCTATTCCATAACGTTTTCTTCGATTTGGCAAAACTTTCATGCATTCAATATATAATCTCTTTCTTGTACAGTTTATATACATTAACCCTTTTTATCTTTTCCAGTGCAACCACTGGAAATGAAGCAATTTTCTTTATTGTATTCTAATATTCTATTTAATTTCATTGCAATTTTAAAATGTTTGTGACAATTGAACTATTTACGGCTAAAATCATTTCCGATTCACTTAAGAGCCCGCCGATGTGCAAAAAACATATTATTACGAATTAATGCCCTGTAATTGCCTCATCAAAACCCAAGCATCGTATAATAAAATCAGTTAAATAACTACATTTAGTCAGATTTTCAGCATATAAGCATACACACACACATGCACACAATATGAATATGTATGTGATAGGGAGTTGGAGCAAATAACAAATACACAAACATCAAATATTGCAAACAAGTTAATTAACAGGGCAAGTGTGTACATAATTTGAATATGAAATGCACACTCAACTGTCCACGAAACCTTACCAGGGGAATGCAAATATGTTCGCAAAATTCAACGGCCAAAGAGAAGCTCTATAAAATTATTCTTGAAGCAGGTTGGCTGTGCATTTGAATGAATGAATAGTGCTCGACTAGGCAATGACCAGTCAGTGGCTCCGTAGAAGCTCAAACTGCAACTCCTTCAATACTAGAAGCATCTTTTAGCAGGCTTCAATCAGGCGGGCATTCATGTTCATTGCATTCCATTTAAATACAGACTTTCATACATCAAATCAGTATTAGGTGGAGTTCACTTTTGTGGCTTACTTCTCTGTGCGTCGAACTAATTAGCGGCAGTTCGCCGATTCAAACTCAGCAGCAATTCGAATACTTCTGGTTTTCAGATAAATTAAAACAGAAATTTTGTTCCTTTAAGCAACTGGGGTGGGACAATGAAAACGGAGGAACATTTATATGAGCCTCATCGGGAATGTTAGGATTGAATGTGTGAGGAACGCTCGATGTGAATAGCCGGAATAAGATCTGAGTAGACCTTATGGTTTAAGACGTTTTGATAGTTTTTAGTGGCAATTTTTATTTAGTCTGAAGTATTTTACTTGTCTGCGCGAATTGCACAGACAATTTTGACACGGGCAAAGCCGGGTTATTTCTATTTAATGCATTTGTCTTATTAGACTCTTTTGTTTAGAGAGCACGTTGGGTATTCAGTTTGTTTATACTTTTAATTTGATTTTATATTTATTTATTATTTGTATATGTATTTTTGAAATATTTGTCACAACATGAATACCCTGTAAATGCATTTAGTGCTGTCTTTGCATATTATTAAAAGACAATACGAATACCCTGTAGTCGCATATAGCGTAGGCTCTGCATTTTGTACATATTTTTGCTCATATTTTAAGTTTTCGAACACCTTGAAAACTCAAAAAGTGCCAGAGAAGCCGACGCAGCGTCAACATTTCTAGTACAATGTTTATTTATTTTATTTTATTTTTTCAACAGCCATGTGGTTGAATACGAGTATGCGATTTATTTAAGCATTTCACAATAATTATTTACAAAGTGCAATTGACGCTTCGCTGGCCTTGCAATTGTTTTGTTTTTTGTTTTATTTTTTATTTTTGAGCTCCATGAAAACTGCTGATGGAGCAGAGACAGGCTAAATAGTGTCCCGTTTCCTGTCTAGTCTGTAACACTAGTTGCCGAAGTCGTGCCAAATAGCGTTCTGAGGG